GAACAGACAATTACTTACCGATGGCATGATTTCTTCGAGATACACTGTCCCATATGTATTCAGTCTTTTAGCATATATGCTCTTGAGATTGGAGACCACTAGCCTTAGAGAAATCTGTGAGCATGCCAGTACCTCTCTTGAATGCCTTGTCCGTGGAATAAGAGGAGGGTCAGGACAGGTAATGCTCAGTTACTGTCAGCTCCTCTTCCTTGGAGAGCCCCCCTCTGGTAGGATAATAGGAAAATGAGATGGATAATAAATGCACATCTGAACAAATAGTTGGAAGTCCAGCCACAAGCAACTTTCTCTTCATTTTTTAAGCGTTGGTCCCTTCAGATGTTGCAGGCTGGTAATTCCAGTAGCGCTGCTACATAACAGCCAGCATGGCCCGGGCTGGCTTTGGAGACTTCCCAGTGGATGGGAGCTGTAGAACTGTTCTGCTGAACATGGGATTGTTCCTGAATTCTTTTGTGATGGCTCAGGGCCCTCTGTTGGGCATCAGATGGGAGGCAGGGTCAGGGTAAGGCAAGCTGGTGGGATGTACCATGGCGACAATGACAGGGATCTGTTCTTACAAGTTCTTTCTTTTTTATTTATCTACCTAATCACTATGAAAAGAGGTTTGTCCTTGCTAAAATTCAGTTGAAGTATTTCCTTACTGGGGTTATCACTTCTAAAGTTGATTTTTTTTGTTATTTTTTCTTACCCAAATGTACCAATTTACTGCTGGATGTTGTCATCTCATCTTGCATTACAGTTCCACTTCCTTGTTACTTGAAAGGAACTGATGGGGCAAAATGCATAGCATTTTTGGTCTAGATAAGACTGTAAGCAAATATCAATAAGGTACGCTTGTGATACTTGTATTGTAATTTACTTGCAGTAAATTTAAAATGTGTGAAGTAAAATGTAAAACCTGAAAAATTATGTCAATACAAGTATGCATGTACTTGATACGATTTTCTACTTTGGTCTTAGTATTATGCTATTTTATAATCTTATGGCAACAACTCCAGAAGAAATACAAAAAGCTCTTAAAATTTTAGAGGGGAAAAAGTCAAATGTTCTTTGATTGTAAAATACGTGGAAACACTCCCCACCTTGCCCTTCATATGAATTGAATAGCAGTGGAGTACAGAAAATTTTATGAAACCTTTGTATTGAGCAATGACTATAAACAAAGCATCACTGTAACCCAAAGTCCATTCCGTACACAGACTTTTCGTTAAATCAAAATTCCCAATCTAAGAGTTCCTGGCTGTCAGCCCAGACACCTCAGATGCAAGTCCTCTTAGATTCTTAGGATTTTAGGTTCAGTGTGACAAGTATTGAAAAGACTGAGGAACTTACTTCAGGTACTGAAACTTTTAAACTAGATTTGTATTTATTTTAAACTCTATTCTGCTCTAAGCATCAGTATAATATGTAAGTAACTTCTGTGCTTTTTGTAGCATTTGGGATGGTAACTTTAGCTTCTAAGGCTTCCTGTTTTCATATAATATGCTTCATATACTATTTCTGCAGTGCAGGCTTTTTTTAAACAAGCTTTGACATAGTTTAACTTTTTTTTGGTGTACATGTATACATACATAATGCACATCTGTGTGTGTTGCTGCTCTCAACAAGAGATCCTGTTTCAGTAGGTCAGCAGATGTTGAATTTAGTTTCCTTTTGACAAGGAAAAATGCTTATGTGGATGCATAGAAACCCTTAACACAAAGGCAAGAATAAATTCACCTGATGGTACTTTTTAAAACAAACAAAAAAAATTCCATGACTGTATTCTGAGGCTAAAATTAGATGAAAAAAATTCTTTGGCTAAGCCAAAACAGGGGAGCTTTTGGTATGCAGGATAACTTCTGCAAGGAAAGGTGAAATCTTAGTTTCCTTTGGCAGCTAAAAATCAAATTATTTATGGTTTGGGGTTGTTTCCTCATTTTTACATTCATCTTCTTCTACAGCTGTCTTTCACCGTGGGAAACAGCATTTTTGAGTTGGCATTTTATATGGTAACTGAGATCTATTTTACATTTTACTAGATGCAGCAGGTTATGTGCAAGACTGTCTTCTGTGATGGTAAACTAGGTTTAGTGTAGAGGCTGAAACAGACATTAGCAAAACAAACCAAGCAAAAAGAAAAAAAAGCACCTAAATCCATGAATGATTTAAGCAAGTCTTGCGGTCAAAAGATGCAATCCTGGCTCTAGTAGCTTCTTCCTGTGGTCCTGTTTTTTCTACCTGTGCTGGCATGAATATTCATGTGATGCCATAACAGATCAATTGGGTAACTGATGCTGTTCAAACTTTTTGTCTGGGTTGGTTTTACCATGGGTCAGTTTACCTGGTTCACCAAATATTTGGGCCAGAACAAACACAGGCAGGGCTTCCTCCAGGACGGAGTTCATCACTGCTGCCAGCTTGAATTGTTTGGGAAATACAACATGGGTTATACCATAACATCTTGTAAAATGTATTGATGTAATAAAAAAAAATACAAAGATTTACTTTCAGTTGATACATAAGGCTAAGGACAGTAATGGGATTAAAGCTATGATCAGTTTTGGCCTATGGGACACAATATACTTCGTTAGGAACTACAACATGTTTGAGTTCAAGATGCAAAGTTCTCTCAAGAAGCCAACCAGCACAGGCATGAGCAAGCAAGCTTTGTTTTTTTTCTTCCTCTCTTACTTAGCTCCTGGACTCTTCCCCATGTCAGGAAGAACTGAAGAGTATTAGCAGACATCTAATAGTTATCACACCATAGCTGAGCGCAGAAGAGGAAAGTGGAATAGCAACGGCATTATTCCAGGACTCTGTCCATATGAACCAAGTCCTAATTTAGCTGAGAAAAGGGAAGTTGTTGGGATAGCTGTGCAGCCTTTATTTGTGAGAGAGTTTGCATTCAAACTGAAAGGTGACTCTTAACCTCCACAAAGCTTGTATGGCATATAACTAATTCCATCTGAAAATGGATGGTATGTTTAAGTGTGGGTACACAAATCACTTGGAGTGTCACTGTTTTAATGAAATTATTTACTAAGTGTTTTTTCTTAAGTCAGTGGAGCTTTTCATGTATGGAGAAGAGGTTTGCATTCATACGGATTTGTTTGTCTTAGAATAGCCAGCTTATTTCTGCACAAGGAGGAAAATGAGTTACGTGCATTGGCTAAGACAGGATGGATCCAACAGCTTGTGTTTGCCAAGAAGATTTACTGGTGTTTGGTGGTGTGATGTTACCCATTTTGTATGTGCTCTGGTTCTGGCTTCATCCTGAGCAGGCTCACTGTTCATGTAGGAAGGTATTTTATTTTTCTGTTGCCTGATGTGTAGTGAGCTGAATCTGTGTAGAGACAAGTTCAAGGGAAGCATTGGGTTATGTGCGATTGAGGAGTTGTTGCCACCTCGCTTGAGAGGCCTGTAGATTAGCTCAAGTTGGCTTGTGTAGTACCAGCCGGGCTGCTGTGGGGTTAGGGTTGTGTCCCCTGCCTTGGCAGAACTCAGCTAGTGATCAGCAGGCTGCACCTGGGCTGTGTGCTCTCTACAGCAGCCATTCTGCCCGTACGTCATGTCTAGTGCGAGGTGGTGTGGTTTCTTTTTGAAAACATTTCATGTCATAGACCACAAATGCCAAAAGGCATTTTAGCAACCTTGTTCTGAGGTGGTTGGAAGTCATGCCCTCTTTCATGCTTCCACAATGCTTTAGCCCTTTGCCTGTGTTTTGTTGCGTACCCATGTCTATAAGCCAGGTTTCCAAACTCTTCTCTACTTCTCTTCCTCCTCATGTATCCAGCCCTCAAACCCGGGGGCATTTGTTGCCCCTCACACCTCTGCCTTCAGCAGTTTGCAGCCTTCTCCTTCCTGGCCTGGCTCTCATTTTCTGCACCCCAGAATCTGCTTTGCACACTGCCTTTGTGATGAAGAGGCCAGATGTGCCTCTCCACTTAGAATTGCATCTCACCTTCCCAGTGTCACAGTAAGTCCTCCTTCTGAACTCCTTGTGCCAGAAAAAAAACATATTATTAAAGCAGGGACAAGAGACTGCAATGGTGCTGCTTCTTCCTTGAATCACTTGCATGGCATTTACTTGTCCGATTTAACAACCCAAAGCTGTACTCAGAAAGGACATGATGTTGGGACCATATAGCAAATATAGGTACACCAGTGACAACACAGTAGAATTTGCCTACATGTTCATAATGTTGAATGAAGTCTAAGGAATTCTTAGTATAGGCTTGATCTTTGTATCACTCTTTCTTGCCTGTGTGTTTGTGTTTTGGATGGGGGCACACATGTTCTGTTGACAGTAGGCAGCTTTCCATTATGGTAACTTTCGTTTTGCAGTATTAATATTTTAACAGTGCCAATGTAGGAATACATTAGAATGTGCTTTTTATACGTGCAGCAATGAACTTTTGTTCAAATTTCCTTGGGTTTGACTTGCTAAATGCCTAACAAAACAATAGATGAGTGCTTAAAGGCCTTATTTTTACTATTATAAACCTACTTCTAGGTACTAGTCTAAACTTGAAAAGTAGGACTGAATGAGAACTACGTAAATTATATGATATCAAAATGCTGCTGAAAGCAGGTGATGGTGTAACCTCCAACAGGATTGTTTTATTCTGCTTTCTCAATCAATTTGGGATTTTCATAACAATGTGTAAACACATCAGTTTATGGAAAGTTTTGGTATAATAAAAGGAGTGTATCTAGTCTAGACCAACTCTTACTTGAAGATTTTTTTAGCTAAATTCTGATAGCCATCCTGTTCTGTATTGCAGTTTGTCATGCTGATTTGTGAATTACAAATTATTTGTGAGAAAAAAAAGTAGTATTTTTATCTTGGTTTAATCCTTCAAATAAAAAGCTATCTTGGAAATATTTTTGAGGTTTTAATTTATGAAAATACTGTGTGCTGGAGGCTGAGTTTATTTCATCTAAATCACATAATATCTACTAAAAAAAAATAAAGTAACTTACTGGTGTTTTTGTTCTTTAGAAATGGAGGAACAGAATGCTGGACCTGGGATTGAAGATTTATAAAGGATTATGGGATTATACATTGAAGAGCCAGCAGGCGGAATGCCTGAGTGACTGAAGAAAATGGGTGCTAATGCATCTAACTACCCTCACTCGTGTTCCCCAAGGGTAGGGGGAAATTCACAGGCACAACAGACATTCATAGGTAACTCTTTTCAGTTATCTTGTCACTTACATAAATGACTTGCTGGATTGTAAATGTACTGGATTTGATTTCTTGCAGTAATGTTAGCCAGAGCTTTTATTTTTTTAGGTCATCAGTTTGAATCCTTTCAAGCTCAATTGTGTGTGAAATTTGGTGCTGTCCAGTATCTGTTTGGCCTACTTATGACATGAGTTGATCTGCCATTTGCTAGTAAACAGATGCCAGGTTATTTAAATAAAATAAAACGGAGGTTTTTGATAATTAAACCATGCACGCTAGTTTTCCTGGTTCAAGAGCTGTTGCTATCTGTTCATAATATCTCGTGTTTTCTACTCTTCCTCCTTATATTTTCTGTGAAACTGTTAGAGTGTATAAAACTCTTGACCATCAGTATTCATTGTAGTGTTGGCATTGTCTCTAATATGAGTGAATTACTCCCTTATTGCTAGAAGGGATGTCTCTGATAATAAACCTGTTAAAGTAACAAGCAGTCTTGAAGACAGCTTTTTCTCCTGTCCTTTTCCCATTCCTGTAAATGGGAAATGGGGGTACTTACTGTCCTAACAGTATTATTTACAAATGAGGACCTTGCTTAACTGGAAATGTGAGTTGAAGTGCTCTTAAGAAGTTATTCTCATCCCAGTCATAACTGGGGCAGGTGTTACCTTTGTGTGCTTTTCAGTCTATTGTGAAAGTACCTCAATGTAGATCTAAGTACTGTCACGCTATAAATAATAAATAGTTATGTGATGAATCTAAAAGAAGGCAGTTTTTGAAAAGGTAGCTCTTGCTCAAAAAAAACCCCTAACCCTGACAGTCTGAAGAATGATCTTAGCAGTAAATAACATAAATACTTTATAAACACTTTTTCCTTTATGCCTTGACTTGCAACGCTGTGATATTCAGTGTTACTTTTTTTCTTAATCACCACTGAAAGCACAGTGATATCCTTAGCAGAGGAAAAATTGACTTGCTTTGTACTTTTTTTTCTTTTGTCTACGCTTTTGTGATACTTCTAACTTTTGGAGACCTGAGTAGAGGACAGCCCACAAACTGTTACCTGTGACCTGGGCTAAAAATTCTGTGTGTGCTGTTGTAGCATGTCAAGGGAAAGCTCTTGGTACTAACGTCTTGGATATCCGTGTTGTAAAGTCCCCCTTAAGGCTTTACGTATTTGAAGTGTATCATAACAGTGGTAAAAGGTTTGCCCCAGTTTATATAATGTGCTTTCTAAAGTCACAGCCAAAACACTGTTATTACATGTCTTGGTGTTTATTTGTGTCTATATTGAATGAAGGGAAGCCCTTACAGACCTGAGAAGAGGCAGATCTGCATGCTGAAACACCTTCTGAGCAAGTTTGAAGAGGGAAGATTTCCAAAGGCTTCATTAAATTCCCCCAAGACTTTCCGCTTCTTATGCGGAAGGTTTTGCTGCTGCTCTTCATTATTAAATTCAAAATAGAAACCCATTATGTAGTGCGTCACAATAAATTTCTTGATCCCCATTACCTGTTGAAAATTGTGGTAGAGACTGTTTTTTGAGGAAGGTCTAAAAGTGTGTGGTGGTCTCATTTTAGGCAAGGCAGATGAGTGGTCTGGTTAAAATTCTTGCTGAAATCTTCTGATATTATATTTGCACTTACATGAGCGTGCTGTCTACAGCACAGGCGTGTGTCTGTTCTTCCCACTCTGTGGAGTTTGGCTCTTTGTCATCTTGACTCTTGTTTGGGTGATAGGTTGTGTAGCTGTCTCAGTAGAAAATAGATGTATCCTAAATTGATAGCTGAGGTTTTCATCGCTTGTCAGAATAATGTTTCAATGTTAAATCATCTTTTACAGATTTATTTTTTTTTAATGTAGAAGGCATTTGATCTACTTACTACCCCAAAGTAGAACTGGAAATATGAGGACTAGAGTTAAAATAACTGCATAATATGTATTAGTTGCCTTATTTCTAGATACACAGTTTTGTTTTGGACATGTTGCTTTACCATTGAAGCGCTACACCACGTTAAATTGTAAATGTAGGATGAATACTGGAAACTGAGAGCTTATCAGGGAAAGCACAGTAGTTTTATAGGATGAGCTGCCATGTTAGTTGACTTAATGCTGAATTTGCTTACCCTCCATGAAGAGGAGGTAAATCAGTAAAAATAATGCAATGCTCTTACTGTAAAAAATACTTTTGTTTAAGCAAAGGCTGAACTAGTCATCTCTTGCTGTTTTGTCTACAGTATTCAGGAGGAGGATTTCACACCATTTTCTAGAGTGGTACATCTGCTCAAGATGTTTATTTTTAACTAGAGCTCTCTAATTAGATTTTAAAATGTGTAGGTATGCAGAGGACTAGACAGATACCATTATTCATTGTCAAGTGCCCAAGTAGTTCCTCTTGGTAGTCATCTGTTTCTTGTAAATATTTGTCTGTTCAAAGCTGGATATGGTCTAGGGGCATTAAATAGCTATTGCTTTTTAACAGCATTTAATAGGTTGGTACCTTTTAGTCTAGAAGAGCGGAATAAATTTCTGTTTCCTATTTCTAATGTTGCTGCCTTGTGAAGGAGTACAGGCAAGTCAAAAAGGGGCTCTTCAAAATTCTTCCTTTGAGGGATGCAAAGCCACCATCTGTTGAGAACCCAGCCTCTAGCAAAAAGCAGTTGTGCAGTGGCACTTTTATAGCAGTGTTTTATCTATTTGTAAGGGTTAATAGCACTGTTTGCAGTACTTCTGAAGTTAAATCTTGTAAGTAGCTCAAGCTACACAACTATTTTAGTGTCTTGTGGTAATTCACGTGCAAGTAATACCTCATGGCAGCCTTCCGGGAAGAAAGAAACTGAGACTTCTGCTGCCCTACTTTTTCTTCAGCAGTATGTAAGAGAGTATTCTGCATACTCAAATTTGCCACTGGAATCCAAAATAGAAATGAGCTGGCATGTTCTCTTGGAGCAGAATCTATTATTAAAGAGTAACCAAAGTGTATTTATACTTCTATTGTGAAATGTAATCAATAATCTTTAAATGGAGCAGAAATTCTAGGCTTGTCTATATCAGCAGGAGGCTGAATCTCTGCTTTTCTGTTGTAATATGGAAGGAAGGAATTTTTATGGTGGATTTTGCAACACAACCTCTCTGTTGAAATTGTCTTGAGTTACTGAAGAGTTATCTCTTCATATAAGTTGATATGTTTATTTAATGTCTTGACACTTCAATTTGATTAATAACATTTTGCCTGGTCAAAGAAAATTTAATATAGCATGGATAAAATGGTTAGAAGTGTTTAGTCAAAGACAGCAAAGTTCCTTCCCAAAGTTTTCACTTATAGAGGAATTGTTAAACCATTGTGTTGCATGATTTGGGGGAGTTTTAATTAGCTTGGCGTAAAAGCAAATGTATAAGGTTACTTGGAATTATTGAGGCCTAAATAATACAATTTACAGAAATCTGAGATTGCTGCAGTTGTCTAATTTGAATTGCTCCAGTGGCTTTCAAAATTCAATAAATACTTACATGAAATAACATGGTGACTAATAAGCACTGTGTTTTGACAGACTGGCCCATAACATCATTGTCAAAACAGCACAGCAAAATAGCATCATGTCAAATCTACCCAAAACAAATGGAACTGTGAGAGAGCGATGATAGAACAAATTATAAAAGGCCCTAAACACTCTGGTGGTTGGATGTGCTTTGAACTTAAAGATCTAAAAAAGGCAACAAATAGTGAAGCTACACAAGTGTACTAGTGTTATGTCTGAGGTTTTTCACCATCTGGCTTAGAGTGAAAATACTGTAAATACAGTTAAATTAGAAAATAACCCTTTAACATGAGAGTCATGGTTCTGTTTAAACTATAGTTTTTAACTACTTTTTTTACTAAAACATTGCTTCACTTTTCCATTACTTCTAGAAATGCAGATCCTAACTCTTCTTTTTCTTACTGAATTGCTATCAGTGTTATTATATGTGCAGCTATCCTTGAACTGACAATCAGCAAAGGTTCATTTAGCAAAAAGGGCCAGGTATGCAACACAAATAATGTTGAGGGGAATCCATTTTTCATTTTGACATGTTTGGTTCGTAACATAATTTACCTATAAATGATTTTTGAGGGGGAAAAATAATTACATGTGTAGCTTAAGTGTATAATGCTCTGTTGAAAGGACATCTTTAATAATACAGTGAAACTTACATTCTCCGTATTCTTTTAAATAGGGTGTACGCACAAATTAGTATCTGTGGTTCTTTGGAAAGGAGCCCATTTTATGTGTATGACTTTTGGCATTACTTGATTATCGTATGACAGGATTTTTACTTTCTTGTTAAATTTGCATTAAAAATTAGTTCATTATCCTCAATTTCCCTGAATGTTTTGGCCCTGTGTTCTCTTTTCTTCCTTTTTTCTTCTGACTGTGATAACTATCTGATGCCAACTGTGCTTTTCTTTTTAAAATGGTACTTAATGCAAGAACCGCAGAATTTGAAAAATGCTTTGAAGGGGGAGGAGGGAGGTGCTACTGTTTCACTGAGATTATACAAGCTTTTAAAAAGGCTGTATTTTTCACCTGTTACAGTTAATACAATGACACTTGTAACATTATGACCACAATGTTCTCCTTCTGCTTAGACAGGCGTGTCGTACTAAGTCGACTGGCACTGCTTGACTCTTAAAATTGAGTAAATTTAAAAAAACAAACCACCCGAAACTTTGTAGTTGCAAAAAAAAATTTTTTTGTTCTCAATGGCTAGAAAAAAGGACTTCAGTCAGGCTTCCAACTTGTCAAATTTTCTGATCTGAGGAGAAGGAAAAATTGTGTAACTTGTAGAGACACAGTGTGACTGTTCGGGTGTTATTGTCCTTCAAATTTAAAGAATAAATATGTTCAATTTTCCTTTCTGCCTTCAGGGACATCATCCTACTCTCATCAAGGTTATGGCTGTGAATCAAAGCTGTATAGCCTTGACCATGGCCATGAGAAACCTCAAGACAAGAAAAAGAAAACCTCTGGCCTTGCCACCCTCAAAAAGAAATTCATTAAGCGTCGGAAATCTAGCCGATCTGCTGATCATGCCAAGCAGATGCGTGAACTCCTCTCAGGCTGGGATGTCAGAGATGTTAATGCATTAGTAGAAGAATATGAAGGGACGTCAGCCTTAAAGGAACTTTATCTACAAGCTAATTTGGCAAGACCAGAAGCCAGGACGCTACAAAAAGACATGGCTGAACTGTATCAGTACAAATATTGTACTGATGTAGACTTAATATTTCAGGAAACTTGTTTTCCTGTACATCGTGCGATATTGGCAGCAAGATGTCCATTTTTTAAGACTCTACTTTCTTCCTCACCAGAGTATGGGGCAGAAATAATAATGGATATTAACACAGCTGGCATAGATATGCCTATGTTTTCTGCTTTGTTACACTACCTTTATACGGGCGAGTTTGGAATGGATGATTCAAGATTCCAAAATGTTGATATCCTTGTGCAGCTCAGTGAAGAATTTGGAACACCAAATTCCTTGGATGTTGACATGCGCGCACTGTTTGATTACATGTGCTACTATGATGTTGTTCTTAGCTTTTCATCCAACTCTGACTTAGTCGAAACTTTTGGTGGGAGTCAGAACTGTCTAGATGAAGAGCTCAGAGCTCACAAAGCTATTATTTCATCACGGTCTCCATTTTTTCGTCACTTGCTGCAGAGGAGGATACGAACTGGTGAAGAAATCACAGACCGAACTCTACGAACTCCAACTAGAATTATATTGGATGAATCTATCATACCAAAAAAATACGCTAAGGTCATTTTGAACTGTATGTATACAGATGTGGTGGACCTCTCAGTTTTGCACTCCAGCCCTTCAGTGGGCAGTTTAAGTGAAGTTCAGGCTCTTGTGGCAGGAAAACTCAACATGACTAGGGCTGAAGAAGCTATGGAGCTTTATCACATAGCACTGTTCTTGGAGTTTAACATGCTTGCACAAGGTATGTAATACTGTCCTTACTGTAGAGTATATGACCTTATTAGAACAATTTTTTAGCTGTTTGGCAGTGTGAGTATCCCTATTGAGTCTTCCCATCAATGGCTGACAATTCTTTTTAAGAAAAGGAATTTATTTTCCATCTGTAAACTGTAGGCAATGCATCTGTGTTTTCTAGGGACAGAAGAAATGCCATGTGAGAGCTTTTAACTGTATTACGTGTCATTATTGAAGCATGCTATTTATGTTGAATATGTATAACTGGTCTTGATATTTGTGATCTTCACCAACTTTTATCTGCAAGCCATTTTTGGGGTATAAATGGCAGGGGAGGATACAAGAGATCCTTGGTGAACAGAGGAAATATTTAGACTTGTTTTGAAGTGTCCCTATAGGAACAAGGCTGTAAACTTGAATGATTATTTCTGTAGTTTATGTCAAAGAGGGTAGAATAAGTCTGCAATCTTGTGACTGGAAGGTAAATTTAAACAGTTTAATTGCACTAGTCTTAGGTCCTTAGTATCTGTTTGTTGTACAGAACTGAAGGCGGGGCAGTCAGTATTTTCAGACTTAGTTTGAAAAGTTTTACTACTGTCCGTTATTCTTGAAGATCACTTGAATCTTGATAACGTATTGCCTGCACGTGGAAGCTGGGCAGGGTTACTGTGACCTCTGGTGAGGTGTCAGAGCACTGACAGGAAAAAGCAGGTATAAGCACTGCAAGAAGAGATCATATTTTTAATGGGTTCTGACAGCTACCTCAAACTGTGAGTGATAGACATATGGGAAACTAATCAGAACTATTGTATCTTCTGTAGAGATTGGTATTAGGAAACTAATTTTTAGATGATGCTGAAAGTTGAAATAAACCTATGGCAATAGAACTGGAAGAAGACAAAGGAGTTGAGTTCTCTGAGAAATGCCGCTACAGAAATGCGAAGTAAGTGTTCTGAGGTCATTAGGTGTTCTTAGGGTCATTGAACAGCCCAGGGTGAAAGCTGATCTGGTCCAACCTTTCACGAGAAGGACAGCCTAGATAAGACTATCTAGCACCCTGTGCAGTGATGGGGACTATACCATGTCCCTGGGGAGGTTGTTGCAATGAATGATTGTTCTCACTGTAAAAAATGTCTTACATCGAGATGTCTCCTGGTGCAACATGTACCTATTCCTCCTTGCTTTCTCCTTGTAGCTCCTTGTGAAGAGAGAGCCTCTGTCCTCTTTGTAGCTGCCCTTTAGGTACTGGAATACTGTGATGAGGTCCCCCTGGCCTTCTCTTCCCCAAGGAGAAAAAAAATCCTGGCTCCTTCAGTCTTTTCTCATAGGGCAGGTTCTCCAGCCCTTTGATCATCTTTGTGGCACTCCTTTAAACCCTCACCAGTCTGTTTTGCATCTTATTTTTGTTGTTCCCCTATAAGTATGTCTAGAAACTTAATGTTGAATGGAATGCAGAAGTGGCAAAAGTTTTACTGTAGTGGAACTACAGTGTTAAATTCATTCCTATACAATATTTGCAAGTTAGTAGTACTTGAGAACTGGATAATTCAGTAGATCAGCTGAGAGCAACCCAGGAAAATGAGCTGAAATTAAAAAGGTGATATAAGTGCACAGTTTCTCAGTTTTGGTGCCTGCACATATACAAGTGCTAAAAGGATTTAGGGTGCTTAGGGAATACTGATGAGGGAATTAAACTGTGAATGAAGCCCTTGGTAAGACACTGAATAATTATGCACTGTTTCATAAATGAACAGGGTGCAATTCTTTCCTCAGAGTGGAAACCTAAAATGTAAAAACTGTGATCTGGAGGTGCTCTGATGAAGCAGCTACATCAAAGCAGATAAGCAGTGATAGATAGAGGAACTCAGAGAGAAAGTTGGGCAGACTTAGAGGGAAATGGCTTTTATTTTTTAGGTGTTGGTAAATGCTGCGAAACAGAACCGATGTTTTATTTGGTGCTGAGTTTCATTATTTCTGCTCACTTTGAGCATGCTTGGGTCAGCGTGTCCTAAACCAGCACTCTTTTCAGTAAGGCACTACAGATCAGCACTGCTCTGCAATATACTTTTTATGAGTCAGTGGTAACAAGATCTTAAGGAGGTTTTTCCCCAACACCACCTCAAGGGGAGGAAAAAGAAAGGCAGCAGCGGGAGCTGCGATGGGCTGGCAGCACTCTGGCAGCATGCTTGGGTGCCTGGAACCATCGAGTGCAGCACTGCGGGCTCAGTTTTGCCCCTCTGGATGAACCCGAGCTGTAGCATTTTGGGGGGTGGTCACTGGGAGGAGACAGAGGGATGCAGTGGCCTTTGGAGGCCTTTTCTTCTTTCCCGGGTAAATCTGTGTATGACCACAAAAGTGGTGAGCTCTGGGGGGGTGGGGAGGTTGTTAAAGGAGAGAAATGCAGTAAAACCAGGCAAGGGTTGAAATTTATTATATTATTCAATACTAGCAAAAGTAAATTTGGCACCCCTTCAGGTACTGAAATTCTAGATGTTAACTTGAACTAACAAGGATTTTACAAATCAGTGCTGCGTTCCCTAGCTACAGGAGAAAGCAGTAAGCAGTCTGTAGAAAATCTCTATATGCTGGTGAAGTCAGTGTCTTATAGTTTCATACTTAATTTGCTGAGTTCATGTTTAGGTCATTGGTACTGTGCTGACACTGAAGAATTGTTCCGGTATAATCTTAAATTAAAAGGAAGCTTATTTAATCAGGGAAAACTGTATGCCAGCATTTGACTGACAGATTACTTAAAGTATGCACGGTAGTAGTGACCACCATTCTTATTTTGGTACTTAACCATAGCACCTTGTCCTCCCTCATTATAATACTTAACATGAGGTAGATGAGAGATCTTTGTTTCATTATTGTGCTTCCCATCCCCTGATTCCATAGTTAGGATACTTCTGTGCTGGAAGCTGTCACTCAAACATCTGACTTCTGGCATCACTCTGCGTAATATCTAGAAGAGACAGCATTATGCAGGTGTTGGAGACCCCTGAGCAGGCAGTTCTCAGGAAATCTCTTAATTTGGTCGTCTGACAGCACTTTCCTGCTCTGTTGTGCTGCAGGTGTCCGGTTTTGCCCAAGTTTAGACCAGTCCCATCAGTTGGCTTTTGCAGTAGCAAAAAGTAGCAAAAAAGTTCCTTCTCTAGATTTCCATACCCCACTGGGTCAAGACTTTTGACTCAGTTCACTCATGCTAGCCAATTGCAGACTTCCTAAGTCTTGTCTCCTTGGTTTCCTGGAAAATATTTTGGGCTCATTATATGTAAGTCTGGATACTATTTCCAACTCATTTTGCTCACTTTTACTCAGTTTTGGCTGGGTATTTGTAACTGAGTGTCAAGTGAAGTTGATGTATTTTAAAGCTTCTGATCAACTGTTTTCATTTTCAACAGATTTTAGTTTGATTTATCTTCAGGGACCTTCCTAAGTATCCAGATGTTGTCATTTTTCTTCATTTTCACCAGATGATTCAGCTTTGACTCTTTCCACGGAAATCTTCTCCTTCCTAACACAGTGATACTCCTTTCTCGGACTATTGTATTTTATTAGATGATTTCCCTATGATGAAGTCAGTGATAGTATGGGTATGTGCTATGAATCTTTACTGTCCAAGTAAAGCAAGATTACTTTATTTAGAATTTATCCTGGCTTCAGCTTGGATTTATTTCAGCCGATGAATGTCACCTCTTGGAAGAGAAACTGAATTGGATCTTTGAATGAACTAATTTGAATAAATGAACTATCAGCAAACATATCTCATCTGTAGAGCTGATCATGCTGAAACCCATTTGTACCCAACAGAAGAGAGGCTGCTGTTAGGGGTGCTGCAATATTTGTTAACTATCAAAAAGTGAAGCTCTTCACTACTTTCATAGAGACTGTGGGGATTAGAGTCCTTTCTAGGAGGTTTGTCCACTTCCCTTAGTGAAGTGTTTCTGTGCTCTGCCTGCTTATTTCTGTGCTCTGCTCCTGCTTTTGTGTCTTCATGCTGCCTCGCTGCTCTCTGTCAGCTCTACTGGTTCAATCGTTTTAACACATTGACTCTCAAAGATCAGATTTAAAATCACTTATCCTTTCCTCTTCTATAGCACAGTTATTAAAACCAGATCAGTTCCCTAGTCCTGTTCATCCTGCGTTGTTAAAATAATCCCTCCTTGCAGTCTTACTGTGCTGCCACATCCACTGCTGTTGCAGAGAAGTTAGTCTTGAGGTATCTTAATTTTATTAGGTAGCTCTGTTAAATGAATCCTCTTCTGCATCTTGGCTCTTTTGCTTTGTCCTGGTTTGAAGTAAAGCAGAACAAATTTTCTGTTCAGTAATTTCATATCTTGCTAGCCCTCTTCTGACTCTCTGACATTAGGGGCATATTGTGGAGAAAACTGCTTGTTCTCGGAGTGGTAAGACCAATGTTTGTGCTTCATGCCAAGGAATGGTTTGCAGAGAGGCTCTTGCTTATACTTACTGCTATAACAACCAAGGTCAGCCAATTTCTTTTTTTTGCCCTGATAGAGGGTGGAAAACAGAAAAAACGTAGAGGGGTCACACCTGTGGGGAGGATTGGACAAGACAGGTGACCCAAACCTGACCAACTTGGGTATTCCATCCCATCTGCCCCACGCTCAGTATAAAAGCTAAGGGATCACAGGGTCAGCTCTTCTTCGGACATCAGCCGTTGAAGAAAAGACTGTCTGCTCATCTGCCTTTGGTCCCAGTCCGTGTGTTCCTGACTCCAGAGCTGGAACCCAGTTCCCATCCATCACTAAATCCAATCTGGGACTTCCCCAGTGCCTCCCAGTGACATCATCCTGAGAGCTTGATATGGTTTTGTATCTATTGTATCTATTTCAATATTTTCCTCTTTTTGATTTTAATATTAATACTTCATTAGAGTAGTTTAGTTCATTCTAAACTTCTAAATTTCCTGATCTCTTCCTCTCCTCTCTTTTATTTTTTGAGGGGGGGGGTTTGCATCTGTCAGTCTGGTTTTGGTAAATTTGG